AATTCCCCCTTAAAATGATGTCATTTTAATATTTGGTTAAAATTCGCTCTAATTCACTGCCTCGTTTCACAGACAGAAAACCTGAAAACCGACAAGCCATTGCCAATATCACGATCGACTGATTACTTCGCATTGGGATACAAAGAATCGAACAAAGTACCACCAGGAAGAGTGTCTTTGTTGCAAGCCATTAATTTCATCACAAAGCATCAGCAACAACCAGAAGTATGGACTATCGAAAAGATAGCGGAAGAGAATAAAATCAAGCCCGAAGTCGCAAGTATGTATACATACATCTCATGAGTCGGAACTTGTTAGTTCAAACTCAAAATAATGTAATTCAAACTCATTCGATTCATTTCTGTTCTTTCAAATAGAGGACATCATTGACCATTTCCGTGCGTTTGAGGTTCACATGTCGAAGAATGTTGAGCAAAGGGAGGTGCAACAGATTCAAGCCAATTTGAAATTGCTTGGCGCAAAGAGCACAGACAAATAAACAGTATGTGATACTGCTAAGCATTGACACATTGTAATTAGCCCGAGTCGAACTTAGAATTACTTAGAGCACGTTGTTTGATTTAAAAAAAAAAAAGCAATAAATTTAAGTAACAACTCAAATACGGTTTTTCATTCACCAAGTTCAATGTTATTCAAATGTCAATTCTCTCATCGGACATTCGCAAAGACAGTAGAGGTTTGAGTGCGTTAAACGCAGTTCCCATTGACATTTTCGGTGCAGCGAGGTAAACATTGATTTTTATGCTGTTATTCAACAGCCGACGGTGTTTTAGTGCCAGAAATGTAATTTTGTGATTCATGAAAAGGAAATTGAATTGAAACACCATGGGAAAATCAATGTCAACGGCAAAACAAGTGAACCGAAGCACAATCACAAAGTCAGTAGCACAAACAACAGTTCAAGCACAACCTAACCAAACAATGGTTCACAGAGGTACCTTAAACTAATTGACAATCAGTTGGATTTGGTTTTTGATTTTGATTTAAATTTTGCAGCCACCCCGATGCCATCTCTTCCCACTGCCGAATATCTGAAGAAGACGAGCAATTTAGATAAATCATACAATGACCGTTTGAAACAGGTTTTTGTCACTTCAGTCGATGATGTAAGTCAATGAAAATGAGTGGGAAAATCGAAATTTCAACTGAAACAAAGCAATTTTGACTAATTTCACTGATTCAATTTCAGAATACCAATTTAGATTTGACAAAAGGACGTTCGATGCCAAAGGATCGCACCACACCATTCACGAAAAGTCCACACTCTCAAACGACAGATCAACCGCAACCAAATAAATTAATCGTTGATGAAATAAAAGTGATACTTCTGAATCACAAAACGAATCCAGACAAATGGACACCTGATTACATTGCAGCGAGATATAATATTTCGACAGAGATTGCAGGTAATTGGTCATGATTTGATTTACATATGGATGTGTCTGAATTTTGATGAAATATTTCAATTCTAGGAATCTTGGTCGAGAACTATGGCACACTTCAGACATATTTTGGTGGCCAACCGAACGAATCAGACAAATACATTCACCACGAGGAACCAGTCAGACGAGTCACAGCAAATACACACTTCTATGAGATGGAAGAGATTGTAACTGGTGGTCGGAAAGAAAAGAAATGGAAAACAAAAGAAGAATTCGATAAAGAATGGATGGGCAAAAAATGATGAATGA